ACAATGTTTTTGTTTCTATGAGGTCTTTATATTTTCAGACTTAGTCCATGAATTTAACCCTTTGTGTGGCAGGTCACTCAGTTCTGCCCTTACCAGAAAATGACACTCACAAGGCTGGTGAATTGTAAATTTTACAGAAGTTATATTGTTAAATTTTACAGCTTTCAACTCATTGTTTCAGTGATGAGGTATTTTTTTTTTTAATTTTAACTAATATTCCATTTAATTTGATATTATTAATAATGTAACATAATCACATGATAAACATTATCTTTGTATCATGCGATATATAGGTCCTTAAATAGCAAAGATTGTAGATACACACTTTGGTAAAAGTTTATCTACTTAGGCACATATACATGATAATTAAGGCATTTTCATATTGATTTAGACTGGAAAGAGCCATGGAAATTTTAATGTAGATTTGTTTTGTTTTTTTATTTGAAAAAAAAAAAAAAAATTTTAAGCTCATTTCATTGGTTGTATTTATTTATACTGTACTAAAATCTAGCCAACACAAGTTTTGAGAGCCACTCAAAATAGAGGGATACTAAATCAGATGTGTGACATGAATGTATAAGGTGTTAAGAAGAAAAGATTATATTTACATTTAAGTAATATTTAATTCTAAAACCTTCTTTACTGATGTCTTGATACCATTTTTAATTGGAGTTTTATTTAAACTTCATTTGACATTATTTGAAATGAATTTTTTTAAGCTTGATCAAAAGATTAGTTGGATAGGGTAAATTAATTTTCATTTTCCATTACTCTTTTTTTTTTTTTTTTTTTTTTTTCCCTAGTATTCAATATTGTAATTCATGCAATGATTTCCAAAGAGCATTGTTAATTATGTCAGCTGACAACAGAGGTTCATGGAATGAATCAAAGCTTTTTATGTCTTAAAATTCACAAATTCTTTGGTTTACTTTGAAGTTTTTTTTTTTTTTTTTTGTCAAGTATTATTTTCTGTAAATTTTATTTTTTTCTCTTGTCCCTTTTTTTTTCTCTTGTCCCTTTTCCTCTCTCTCTTTTCCTCTCTCTCTTTTTTCCTCTCTCTCTTTTTTTCCTCTTTTTTTTCTCTCTCTCGCTCAATATTTTCAAACTTGCTTAATTTTCTTAATTTATAAATTGCTGAACTTGTATGTTTTTCCAAAGTGAAGTAACTAGTTTCATTAAATAATCTTCACGCCAGATAAGAGACAATCACTGTTAGTCATTTCTTTGATGCTTTTTGCAGCCAGAAGACCTGGTTAAATACATCTTTTCTATTTTAGTAGCATTGCTTTGGTGGCAAACTCTTTGATTCAGGGTCTTTCTTTTTTCTTTCTTTGGACTGTGCCAAGGCACACACACAAAGTTGGCATCCTTATCTCTGTACTTTTGTTATAAATCTTTGATAACAGTCTGGCATATTTCTTTTCAATTATAACTGCATAATAGCTCAGTGCAAGCATAAATATTTTCTTTTTAAATATATTAGATGTAATGAAACTTAATATTTGTACATCAGACATTACCCATGATGAGGTCTAAAAAAAAGAAAAAAGTAATTGAATTTTCATCATGTGTCCCTTGACTGCTTCAATCCTTGTGGTGGTTGGGGGGGGGGGGTGCTAAAGGCAGAAGAAACAGAGACCGTCACTTCCAGGATGATCTGTTGGTGGTATCTCTTGGGAGTTCCGGCATTGTTTAAGTCACAAAAAATTTGTTAGATATTTATGTGGAGGTCGGTATTTGAATGGACAAAACCCTTCTACCTATAATCTATAGTTAAACATCATGAAGGTTTTATTATTCATTTACCTTATTTTTGATGTGGTAAAATAATCCATAGTAAAAACTTATCTTTTTAAAACTGATTTGTGTGCACTTTAAGGTTTGGGAAATGTAAAAAAAAATTTTGTCTGTGTATAAATTTTATTTTAATATCTATACCCGGGCATTGGTGCTAGAAACAAAAAAAAAAAAAAAAGATAATACAATTTGAAAATAAAAAAAATATTGAACAAACTGATATCAGTGGAAAAAATTCGATAAAAAAAAAAAGACTAAAAAACATCCATACTGCTTGAAAATAATCAACCAGCATCGCAATGTCGAGACAAAAGATACAAAAAAAACACTGACAAATGGTTAAGATATAAAAGTGTTCAATACACTAAGTAGAGCAAAAACTTAAAAACCTAACAAGCCAGAATGTATCTACCTAGGTTTCACCTAACGGATCATCAGGATAACTGACTCAGTTATCCAGAGTTATCCTGATGATCTGTTAGGTGAAACCTAGGTAGATAGGTTCTGGCTTGTTAGGTTTTTATGTATGTATGTATGTATGTATGTATGCATGCAAGATGTCTTAAAATAATCAAGAAAAGTTTTTTGCTGTGTTTCAAAACTAATTTAAATTGATTAGGAGTTTTTGTTTAGAAATAGTAATTTTTTTATTTTAGCACCATTTTTAGCCACCTGTGATCAGACTGTAATTCTCTTTTATTAAAAAAATCTTTCAAAAAAAAAAATATTTTTCTAAAACTTTATTTGAGGAATATTATTAGTATAATTAATAGGATTTGAAAAAAATATTATTTATTTCAATTTTAAAATATTGCAGAAATTCATTTTCTTTAATCTTTTGATGTATTGATAGGTTGATATTTATTCTTTTTCTATGGGGGCTTTATCCATAAAAGAAAAAAAAAACTTATATATAATTTTTAATTACTTAGTAATTTTAAAAATTCAGGAAACTGTTCTCTGTAATGTTTTATTGAATTTTAGAAACTTTGGCATTAAATATACTATAGTTATCACTCTTATTTTCTGATAATGTTGTGTATGAACATCCATGTCTACAAAAATTGGCATTTTTGTATTCATACAAAAACAATTCAAAATTCTTTTTAAAATACTGGGATACCTCAGAGTGAAATAAGCTTTTCAATTTATGATTAGTAAATATAGTTTTTACTTAATAATATTCCTTAACCAATACACAATTGAAACTGAAAACAAATTTTGTAAAAATTCATTATAAAAATAAGACAATAGTGTCAAGAATTTTAATCATAAAAGCAATTAAGAGCTTTTCTAATTAATGTCTTAGGTTTTTTTGTTTTTTGTTTTACAATTCAGACCAGATTTTTGGTAAGACATGGTCCAATTTTACAAAAAAGAAAAAAAATTATTTAAATTCCCTAAGGTGTTCTGCTTCTAACTAATATAGTCACTAAAAATTATTTTGTTGAATTCCTTGAGTTTTCATAAATTAAGTGGGTGTGACATAGTGATTTTCCAAGTGTAGCTTGGATGTGGCACAAGGCCAACAGTAAGGGGCACCCAGTGAGGATTGAACTCACTACTCAGTCATAATTGTTCTAGCGAGACAAGCTTGCTAACCATTACACTGCCTTGAGGTGCCCAAGTGGGTGTGACAATCTGTATAATAATAAAAAAAAAAAAAATTACCAAGATTTTCTAAAATTTTATTCATTTGTGAATAACTCTTGAAAGGTTCATTAAAATCTGACAATTTTTTGATTTTTTTCCAAGAGTTTGCAAATCAACATGTTTTTCAGCACAACCATGACACTAAAATTTACTATGCTAATTTATAGTCCATCTGCTGTTGCAAGATAAACAAGATTTTTAACTAAAATTTTGAATGTTCTAAAAAGGATTAAAGAAAAAAAAAATAATTCAATAATCAAAAAGTTCTTTGGTCTTTCCTCTTAATAATAACAAAGATTTTGATAATAAAACCTAGATTTTTATCAAGTTTGGGGCATTTTTCAATGATTTGTGGAAGTACCTAGTCTACAGAAGTCTTGTATCCAGAAGAAAATAAGTAGATGTTTTATGTACAAGGTGGGTAGAAAGAAACTCCCTCTTTAAAATTGTTAATAACTTTACTATTGGTTAATTTTCATAAAACATGTTTTACTTTGGACAGTATAATGGTAGAAATACAGTACAGTTAAATTTTATATAGCCACCAACATTGTCTACTAGTTTTTGTTATTGTCTGGTCATATCCTTGACAAACTTCATAATTTCCTGTACCTTTTTGCACTTGTTCTTCCAATCTGGATGTTGAAGAACAACTGCTTCTGTGGATATCTACCACAGGTTCTATACTCTTCAGCTTGGAATCACAATTTCTGATGGTTTTGGCATCTACTGAAACACAAGGTCCGTAAACTCTGTGTCACCATCTCTGCCCTTGTACCACAGACTGTCACACTTTGTAACAGGATGCTAGCCTGATCATGCTCATGCAGTGTCAGGTGTTGTGGTGTTCTGGGCTATATTTGTTACTCTGAAATAAAAACAAATTAACAATGAAATCACAATATATTTTGTTTGATGCAAATGTGATATTAACAAAAGTAATTTTCAATAGAGAATTTCTTTCTTCTCACCTTGATTATTGTTCTCTCCAGGTGTCATCGGATATGAATTACTGTGGGTCAGTGACATTTTTTGTTGTTTACCATTTGCTAAAAAAAGTTTTTTTTTTATATATATATATATATATATATATATATATTCTTTAAGAGTATACATTGTGTATGGTTGTTTAAAAATAAGATGGTGAATGTGGTCCTACAAGACATGTTGTTTATTTATTTTTCTTTTATCCCTATTTTTTGTAGGAATTATTTTCAGCTTTGAGCATTGTATGTCAGTTACACACAAGATATTTGCACTACACACGGAAATCTGCTCTGTATTTTTTTTCATTCCATACGAAAGAGGTTTGAATTGTTGGCATTTTTGTGCTGATGAATGCTTCCTTTCCCACTGTTATGGCCTTCTAAATCTCTCACCCCCATCCCAACAGAATGCAACTGTTAATCAGGATTCTTAAAGAAGAAGAACAGGAAGAATTTAGGAGTCCATTTTTATGGTACCTCTCGCACAATTTCCCTGTAATTGTTGTTTCTGCTTTTTCTCTGATGACATAAGAAATTTGTAAATCCAAGCTGAGCTGCCTGAAAATGCCTATAAATTTATCTCTTCACTTTGTTTCTAATAAACTTCAAGCATTGCTGTTTTTAACCATTTTTTCTTTTTTCTCCTCTCTTTTCTTTTCTCCTCTCTTTTCTCCTCTCTTTTCTTTTCTCCTCTCTTTTCTCCTCTCTTTCTTTTCTCCTCTCTTTTCTTTTCTCCTCTCTTTTCTCCTTTTTCTCTTCTCTTTTCTTTTCTCCTCTCCTCTCTTTTCTTTTCTCCTCTCCTCTCTTTTCTTTTCTCCTCTCCTCTCTTTTCTTTTCTCCTCTCCTCTCTTTTCTTTTCTCCTCTCCTCTCTTTTCTTTTCTCCTCTCCTCTCTTTTCTTTTCTCCCTCTCCTCTCTTTTCTTTTCTCCTCTCCTCTCTTTTCTTTTCTCCTCTCCTCTCTTTTCTTTTCTCCTCTCCTCTCTTTTCTTTTCTCCTTTTTCTCTTTTCTCTACATTCAAACTACCGTTTCCATCTTTGTTATCACATTTCAGCTGTTGTGCCCTCTGGCCTTTACCTAGATCAATATACACCTGATAAAGTACAGAGGCAATAGCCTAGTAGATTAAAGCCTTAGTTCATGAATTTGATGATATAGAAATTGAGAGTTCAATCCCTGGGCTGGGCAGTGTGTAGTTGGACTCTGTAGAAACAGGGTGAGCAATAATTGAGCGGTACTAAAAAATAAGGACTAGATGGGATACCCCTAGACATGCACAGTGGAATAAGAACAGTCTACTCCTGTAGTTTAAATAAAGGGTCCAGTTTAGATTTCTCTGGAGGGTACAACAGCCAAAATGTTGTGATAGCAACAACAAAAATGAGGATAATAGTCTGAATGTAAATAGTGTAAATAATTTCCCATCCCAGAAATTCAGACAGAAATTATTTACTGTTCATCTTTTGAAGGTAGTTGATTAATTTTATGCATTCCATTCTTTGATCACTTCTTGCTCAAAAAACAAGGAAATTGCTTTTACTATTATGACCTCATGTAGTGATGAAAATCTCTATTCTGACTTTAGATTATATATTATTGGAATGCAAGTAAGAGTTTTTGTTTCTTGATACATTTTGAAAATGTTGTCAGAAAATACTATCTACTAGTAAATTAGTTAAATAGAAATTTTTATCCTATGTAGATTCCACTGTTTTCCTATTTTAACTATCTGATGAATAAGCCCATGATGAGTTCAACAATAATAAAATATACATAGAAATCCCCTATCACATTGTTAAATATTAACAACTTTAACAAAATATTGCACTGACAATCATAAATATGAATGCCGGTCATTAATTTAAGAAGTGAGGGGGTACAAATGAACCAATATGAAATTGACAATTTTTCCATTTCATTGAAACAGCTGTTAAACACTATCTTCCCTTCTTTCTTTCATTTTCTCACTGAAACTAAGTAGCTCTTTGATATGTCTTTTGTCTTCTCTCTGATCAAGACAGAATAGTCTATTTTTCATGAGGTATTAGCAGGTGAAGTTAAACACTTATTTCTTTCCACTGAAACCAGGTAACATCTCTGATATGTCTTTTGTCTTTGCATGTGATCAAAGTGGAATAGTCCATTATTGATGAAGTATTGGCAGGGTATAATGGTCAGGTGAACTAATGAAGCACAATTATTATATGATTTTAAATGATGGATTTTAGTACTTTTTTTTTTTTCTTTCTTTAATGTCAAAGAAAAATTCTTACATTAGAGAAATGAAAACCATTTTTTTTTCTTAACAGGTTTTAAGAATAGAACCATAAACTAATGCTTGGTAGATTGGGAAGTGACGTATTTCAATCCCAGTTGAAATAGTCAAGAATAAATGAAGGGCATTTTGACATTTGACCATTCTCTGTATCTGGAGAATTTTTTTTTTTTTTTTTGTTTTTGTTATGTAGATGCTTCTAAGTTTCATTTATAACTTTTTTTTTAATATGGATAAAAAAAATCCTGTCATTTCCAGTTATTAGGTTTCAACAGAATTGGTTATGGATATGAATTTGGTCTAGCAACTTTTTATGATGTGCTTCTAATGTAAACCTAATGTATGAAGGATCACATATTACCTAGTTCTTTGAAATTTCTTACCTACTTCACCCATTCTCTCTAAAATTCTACATTTGCATACTTGCTTACTGTCCAAGGCTCAACATTGCAAGTTGTAATTGACTTGTTCATGGATATAACAAAAATTTAGCTCAAGTTGGCTAAGTGCAATTCCACTGTAACATATTTTTTTTTTTTTATCTTAATAATAATAATAATAATAATAAAAAAAAAAAAAATGGACAATTGTATTTTCTTTGGTTTTTCTCTTCGGTCAGTCAGTTACATGCCATGTGTGATACACGCAATCATGTATCTTTCGATACAAGGCAGATTTTTTTCCCATGGTAGATTGCCATTTCTTTCTGTGGTAGACCAGTTGCCATCCAAGGCTATAGAACCCAGTCTGTCCTACTGTTTACCCATAGCTGGGGGGAGAAGAGCATTCATACCTTTCGCAAGGGTATAAGCACGTAAGTGAATGTGATGGATTCAAATGGAATTTGAACTTGGCTCTCTGATTCTTCAGTCAGAGCCGCTATCCATTACTCACTGTAATTGTGTACATTTCATATATATATATATATATATATATTTATTTATTATTTATTTATTTATTCTTTTTTTAATTCAACTCCCTGAAGACATTAGACTCTAGTTGAACAAGATGATTTGCCTATTTCTGGATCAATTCACTTCCAAATGAGTAGGTAAATCAAAGAGTGCACAGTTTAATGATGAAAAACTTTTATTTTAAACAAATATTTATTTTTTCAGCATAATATCCTTTCTTTTCAAATTCATTTAATTCCTTGGGGAATAGTAATCTTTTGAGATTGTGTATACAGTGAAGCAATACTAAGACTTAGAAGTCCTACCAGAATTCATTATTAGCAGCCACAATCTTAATGTAATTAGATATGCAAATGACACGGTGTTCATAGCAGACACAGAAAGGAAACTGTGGGAGTTCCAACATAAAGTGGTAAAGGAAAGTGATAAGGACTAAGCATCAATTGTAAGAAGACAATGTTTGGTTGTCAGTAAAAGAAAACAGCCCAACACGTGAATTACAAATTGGAGTTACTATAATTAAACAGGTACAGAAATTTAAGTATCTAGGAAGTGCTGCAGGAGAAAATTGTCTTTGTAGAATTCTCTCCCTTTGCTACTCTAGGCGCATTCTGTCACCTTAAGACAGTTGCTATAAATAAACACTTGTCAACTGTTATTTTGCCTACTACTGCTTTGGAATGAGGTGAAACTTTCATTTTCCAACGCCATTTTGAATTCTGCTATACTCTACATAGGATGTAACAACGATTAAACCCATGTTAATATTTTCGTTATTTTTTTTGTAAACAAAAATGGCTGTGTCAATATCCAACAGAGTCTTTATTCAGGAGTTTTTCTTTAAGTAGGACTCTGATGACGATTTTGAAGGCTTTACTTGAGTGGATATTGGCAGTAAAGTGGTCGAAGATGATAACCCATGCTAGTGATGTGGAGGGAAGTAATGATGACCACTAGCAGCTACTATCATCCATGTCTAATTTTATGAAAGCTACCGGCAACCATTGATATACCTGATAGCCTTTCAGAAGGTGAATTATTTTGTCTATTTATACATGATGGAATAATAACTTTTTTCATCCACCAGACAAATAGGAGTCAGGTGAAAGAAAGAGCAGACAAATGCAGGTGTCTTCTCATATGTAAACACTAAGAAACATGTCACATTTTTGATGTAATGAAAGCCTTAGTGATTTTGTTTCTTATTGCACCCCAGAATTTTAAGGAGTAATAAAAGTTAAAATACATGAATTATGTATTTTTATTTTGCATTTTTTATTTCGCATTTCAATTTTTTGAAAAATTTAACTCACAGGACTTATCAAAAGCAATAGGGGCAGAGGGAAACGGCACCTAACCTATTGAGATGGTCAGGGATTAGATATAGCAGAAAGACAAAGTTTATTAAGGGCTACAAAGGACAGGAAATCGTGGAGAGCCATGATTTCCCATGTCCTGAAGGGCTACAACCCCTAAAAAATTATACTCTGAAAACTTGAGATTGTTATTCAGCTCTGTGTGTGTGTGTGTATATATATATATATATATATATATATATATATATATATATATATATATATATAAAAATTGGACGTTTTGTATTATTCAAGTACTTGACAATAGGTTCCCTTCTGTTAAGGACACAAGTTCTGGTTGACATTGATATAGCTGAAAATATTTGAAATTAACTGTCCCGGAACAAGTTACTTAAAAAAAAAAAAAAAAATAATATATATATATATATATATATATATATATATATATATATATATATATATATATATATATATATATATATTTCGGTAAGTGTGTTATGAGGTTTTTAATGTTTAACTCATTTGTAGCAGATGGACCGTCCTACCAAATCTCATCTGATCTCAATCTTAAATCTAAAAGAAGTTGGGATTATTAAAATTAAAACATGAAATTACGTCATAAATATCCTCTTCCTCAGCTTTGTGGTTTTATTTAGTGTTTTTTAACAAATGCAAATTTGAGATTAAAAAAAAAAAATTATAATAAAATATTTCATTGTAGTTTTTAACTTGTCAAACTAATTAGATTGATAAGAAACAGAATCCTTAAACCTATTTTGACTCTTCATCGTCCCCCATTGTAGCAATTTTTTTTTCTTTTTTTAATTAGAACTGAAAGCCTTGACATTTAATCTTTAAAAACCGAAAGGAGTTTGGTAGTTGCAATATCTTTTCTCTCAAGAGTAACTTAGCATTGTATTGTGCAAATGGCATCCTATGAAACCTGAAAGGACATTTTTCTGCTTTAGTTGAAAATGAAAATTATCATTTATTGATTCAGGAACAGTTTAAATATTTTCACTATGGAAATATTGAAGAAATAATTTTAAAGGGGAAACCCATCAATATTACCACCTATTGTGCCATTAGAAATTATTAAAAATTTTAAGTGTTGCATGTCAAGTGATTATCATGATGTATTTCGATAATTAATGATTCTTTGTTTTTTGCTTGTATGACAGAAAAATGCTGAGAATTTATGAAAGCACGTTTGGTCAGATTTGTATAGAATAGTTGTATTTTCAAAGTTCCAGGACTTTGGGAAATTACATGGAGAAAATAAGATTTTACAAAAAAAAATAAATCTAGTAATATTTCTAGGTATTTTTCTTTCCAGGTCTTTTGGACAGGAATTGAGGTTTATCCCTTGTTTCTTTCTAAAACCAGCCCATTCTTTTTTACTGCCTTGCTTTGGGTGAATTGATTTAAAAAAAAAACAAAAAAAAAACTGTCAGGTTTATATAGACAAATTATCTATATAAAGGCTATTAATTGATTGCTGTTATGCAGTAACGTCAAGGCT